AAGTACCCTCTGCACTACAGTTGTGCCTAGTGCTGACTGCTCTACTGAGCACCAACTCGTTCGCTCAAAGTTGTCCTTCCACTTCAAGCCTCAGCCCAAACACAGGCAACCTCTCAAAGAAATTTGATGCTTCCATGCTGCAAAATCAATTTTGCCAACAAAAAGTTCAAACAACGCTTCAGTCGAAGCTTGAAAGCCAAGCCCATACTGCAGGCACCTCACCTGATGGACTCTGGGAATACATCAAGTCAGTAGTTTTGGAGACCACCAGGGAGATCGCTGGGCTCAGTACTAAGAGGAACCAATACTGGTTTGATGAAAACAACAAAGACATCCGAACCCTGTTTACAAAAAAGAGAACCACTTATCAAGCTTTTATAGTACAGCCAATTAGCCAAGAAAGAAAGACAGCTTACCGCCAGGCATGTAACACCCTTCAGCGGAAACTGCGTGACATCCAAAACGAATGGTGGACTAATCTTGTGGAAAGAATGCAACTATATGCTGATAATGGAGACACCAGAAGCTTTTGCGAGGCACTGAAATCTGCCTGTAGCCCCACCTTCTTGATCCAAAGCCCGCTGAGGAGCTCTGACAGCCAGACCCTACCCATTGACAAAGACTGTCATGGACCAATGATCTGAGCGCTTTTAAACTCTCTTTAGTGCTGAATGCACAGTATACGAGTCTGCCACCAACTGCATCAAGCAACTGCCTGTTAAGGAAGAACTAGATGAGTGTCCTATACTGGAAGAAACCTTCACCGCTACCAACCAGATAAAAAGCAACAAAGCCCCTGGAACTGATGGAATTTCATGTGAAGCCCTGAAATACGGTGGTCTCGCCCTACGCTCCAAGTGTCATGAACTCTTTATAACCTGCTGGGAGCAAGGGAAAATTCCACAAGATTTGCATGATGCAGTAATCGTCACCCTGTACAAGAATAAAGGTGACAAGTTAGACTGTTCCAACTACCAAGGGATCACCCTTCTGTCCATTGTTAGGAAGATTCTAGCTAGACTCCTCCTCAACAGGGTGGTGCCTGCCATAGCAGAAGAGCTCCTCTTGGAGAGCCATTGTGGCTTCAGAGAAAACAGAGGCATGATAGATATGGTATTTGTGCTCGGGCAAATACAGAAAAAGTGCCAGGAGCAGAATAGAGGGTTGTATATCACTTTCATTGACCTAACTAAGGCGTTTGATATTGTAAGCTGAAATGGCCTCTGAAAGAGTCTTGAGAAGCTTGGATGCCCACCTAAGTTCCTCACCATGCTCAGGCAACTCAGTGACAGTCAGCGTGGACAAGTCAAGTACAACAGCAACCTCTCGGGTCCCTTCCTGATTTCCAGTGCAGTTAAGCAAGGCTGTATATTCGCCCCTACTTTATTCACCATTTTCTTTACCATGAAGCTGCAGCAAGCATCGTAAAATCATGGGGAAGGTGAAGGTGTTTACATCTGCTTCCGGGCCAGTGGAAACCTCTTCAACCTCAGACAGCTACAGGCTCACACAGAGACCTCGCAACACTCATGTGTGAACGTCTGTTTGCAGATGATTGTACTCTGGTGGGCCATACACAATATGATCTGCAGCGCATGTCCACTTGCTTTGCTACAGCAGCACAACTCTTCGGATGTACCCATCAGCCTGAGGAAGACTGAAGTTCTTCATCAGCCAGCTCCACGCCAAACTTATGTGCCACTGAACATGACTATCGAAGGAACTGAGCCTAAATGCTGTCAAGCAGTTCACCTACCTGGGGAGTGTCATCTTGTATGACATTACAATCAACAAGGAGGTAGACAACAGACGCTCAAAAGCTAGCAGTGCCTTTGGCAGACTCTACAAGCGGGTCTGGAATAGTCACAGCCTATGGGCACAGACCAAAGTCAAGGTCTACAGAGCTGTTATCTCCACCCTACTGTATGGCACTGAGTCATGGGTCTTATATCTACACCATGTACACCTTGTGCGCTTTCATCAGCGCTGTCTCTGCACCATTCTCTAGATTCGCTGGCAGGATTATGTCACCAACATGGAGGTGTTACAAAGTGCCAATACCACCGGTATTGAGGCAATTGTCCTGCACTTGGCTCCAGTGGGCAGGCCACATGGCCCGGATGGATGACATCCACCTACCAAAGGCCGTGCTGTATGGGAAACTGATGACTGGGAAATGCGACAGAGGGATGCCATGCAAGTGCTTCCAGGACACTCTGAAGAGGTCCTTTTCTACCTACTGTATTGACAAGAAACCGTGGGAAACACAGACTGCAGATTGTGGTGCCTGGTGATTCCAAATCAAAAAGGCAAGAGCTTCTTTGAATGTCAGTGCAGAGCCAACATTAAGGTTGAGGAGGAGGAAAGATACACTCTCATCTAGCAGCAATCAGCCATATATGTGGAACCATTGCAGCAGGATTTCTCTCTCTGCAGTTGGACTGATTAGTCACCTGCAGGCCTGCAACTGGCATGGGCAGTTACCTCCTAACACCTTTGTCTGCAAAGAACCGCTAAGAACAGGTGTCTAAACACGGAAATATGCTTCTAGTAGGATTTTCAAAAATTTCCACATAGGTGTTGGGCTCCCATTGATTTCCATAGGAGCTTGGCGTTTCAGGTATTCAGACAGTTTAGAAAATGATGTTGGACAGCTATCTGTATCTTTAGACATTTGCACACCTTTATTTCTACTTCCCAGAGTCCAAAGTTTCAATCTGTTAGTTTTCTAAATATAGTTCACACTCCTTTTTATTAATAAATCAATCTTAAATGCAAAACATGTTTTGATGAACCTTTTTTTTCCCCTTAAGAATGTAGTATATTTAAGGTAGCTTGTTTTTATTAGTTAACTAGATCTTGAAATGGTGTTTTTGGACCTTTGGATTCCAGTTTGCATCCAAATGCTATCAACACAAATCCAAATTAAAAAAGATCATTTATTAAACAAGAAATGCATCATTCATTGTTTTATAACAGAATAGATGTAGAAAAAAAGAACATAGACTAATTTGCATAGATATACAGTATACTTTCGATTCATAAAAAGAAGTAACAAAGATGGTTGTAAAAGGCTATAGTTGCTTGTAAATGGTTTTCTCAATTGACGAGAATAAATCTTTCTTTAGAAAAATAGTTGAAACTAAACGTGAGAACCAGTTTTAAAATCTGGGTTTCCTGCTTGCTGATTTTAATCCTGATTTAAGTTGGTAATTTTTAAATCCCTTCCTCACTTTAAAAGCATTCCAGCCTGAGTCAGATAAAGATCTAGGACTGGATTCTAGGACTTTACTGCTTCTGTGCTGATTTATACCAGCTGATGGTCTGTTCTCAGATTAAATCAAACTAGTAAATACTGTGAGTATTTGCCCTTCAGGGTACTGGTGGTAACTTGAATGGATGTTACTAGATGTTTGAGGGAGGATAGACTTGTACGTTACAGACTAATTAAATCATAGATGTATATCATGAGCTTTCATGAGCCCGAATTTACTTCATTAGATGCAGTCAGTTAAACCCTGCTTGAACTCTTGCTCCTTTATTCTAAAAAAGATATTGATATTAATGACTTAGCCTTTCATGAATATTCTGCCAACTGAAATGGGATTTAAAATAGGGACAGCCTTTAGGTGGTGTCTTTTACTCTTAACTGACAGAATTAGAAGTATTTTTGGGTATGTTGCAGGAGAAGAACTTATGCATATGCTTTCATCGGTGTGTGTCCTTTTCTGCTGGCACATGTCCAGTCAGCCATTGATCCACACCCATTCTTATGTTTTCATATAGTAATTACATTGTCCCGATAGGAGTTGTCTTTTCTGTTCTCTACAGAGCTAATATACTGTATATATTTAGCAAATAAAAATCATATGAAAAAAGAATAAGTTCCTTTACTGAAGGGTTGTAAAAGATACAGCCTGCGGGGCTGGATCTGGCCCACAGAGTCCTGTCATCTGGTCCCTGATGCTGCCTCTGGGTTTCAGTTGACACACATGTGGCATAGCACATGGGACCGACCTTGCACACAAGATTTGGGACTGGCCAATTCAGGATCTTTGCTGCATGTGGCAGCCAGTCTAGGATCCACACTGCATGTGGTGCTCCTATCCAGCCAGTTTGAGATGCCCCCACAAGTTGGGAGGGAGGGCAGGGCAGGGCAGGGGAGGATGGATCACACCCATTGCAAATCCTGGACAGGCTACAGTGGGTGCAGCATGTGGCATGGGTCCCAGGGTAGGAACCATGGACACTGGATCCAGCACACTGCTGGGGGGAGGGGTTTTGTGGGCCCTATCTGGCCTTTGACCAACCCTATGACACTCATCTAGCCCACAGGGTCAGAGAAGTTTGTCACCCCTGCTTTACTCCAATCTGCATGGTGACTTGTAAATCCACCAGATTTCTTCTTTCAAAGATTTTGATCAATCAGAAACTTCCTTGAATTGGCCTGGCTATGTGACCTTTAGATCTCAACATCACCACAGTCTAACCAACAGAGACTAGGAAGGCACGTGCCATGCTTGAGTGGTGACTGCTAGCAGTGCTGGCATCGTGATCTCTCCATTGTATTAGCTGCAGCCTTTTTTGAAAGCCTCCAGCCGCAGATGCCATAATGTAGTATTAAGAAGGTTTTAAAATAGATTTGTCAAAACTTGTAAAGGCATAGTGGCAGCTCAAATAATAGTCTGCTAGATGCGGCTTCATTGTATCTGTCTTATGTAATAAGGAGTAGGGAGCCGTTTGCCTTTTGTCAAGTATATCATCCATTTGGGCAAAGTCTCCTTGTCCTGGAATATAGGTCACATAGGGGAAGTACTTTGAAGAGAGCCAAGGCAGAACCATATGATGGTCATGGCTGGAAAAATCAGTTCAGTGACATCATTAATCCTGAGTTGCAAGGAGCTAACTAGCCACTCTAGTGCAAAATACTCTCCTAGAATCTGTGAAAGGGAATTGCATGCAGGTAATTTATTCCCCTGTGGATTTTTTTTCCTCTTCAGCCCCAATCTGACACGCTCATCTATGGTCTCTTGGATGAATACACCATCCACGACAACTGCTACCTCAGCTACAGCTACTGCTACTGCAGCACCATCATCTATCCCTTTTCCCACCCCTACCACAGCGAGTGACAGACCGGCGGAAAGGTACACCGTGCACTGAAATTCTTGTTGGTGTTTTGTTTTCTTGCATCATTGTAATACAGAAAAAGCAATCATCTCTGCCCTGTCAGAGAAACCAAATCAAAACTAGGAATGCAGCTGTTAACCAGCAGGAGAGCCAAAGAGTGCTCTTTAAGATTGTGGATTAGCAGCTTGGTGGGTAAGACCAAGGGATAAGTTTGTTCGCATAGCCCTCTACTACTTGCCCATATTGTAATTGCTGCCTTCCTCAGCATTTTGCAGTTACATGCTGTCTCCATTGAAACACACATGCGCGATTTCTTTGCCTCCCATTTCATATTCAGATGGCTTGTTCTTGATCTCAAGGCTCTACAAAAGGTTCCCCCTGCCCATATCTGTTCTTTCTTTTCTCACTGTTTCTGTGTTCTTGCCTCCTACTCTCTTCACCTATGCCTTCTTCCATAACGTCCCCTTTATGAGCCAGCGTCTTCCTTTTGATGCATCACGCCTCTGCTTTCTCAATTTTCATTTTTTAAACATTTCTTGTGTGTCAGCTTTGGCACAAAAGAATATACTTGCTTTGCAAAGTAAAGCAGATATACTTTGTCATAAGTTTTGTTTCTGGTCACCTCTTGCATGGTGTATACTGATTGACTTGTCTATAAGAAAGTTCCTGGGGGCAGAGACAATCTCTTCCAGACCTTTTTGTACAGTTTCTCCTGCCAGGGTTTAAAAATGATGAATTAATGATTTGTCAAAATAAAGCATTTAGAGCCCCCACGTATTGTTAGCTTGTGGAAGCATTTTTAAGTGAGACAGGTGAAATAAAGCTCCAAGATCTCTTCTAATGGCAGCTTGAGAAATGCATATCTATCTTGGACAAATTAATATTGAAGGTTCATTATTGAGCATCTGATATATGCCTCTAAAAGATTTGTGTCTCAAATTCTCTGCACTACTTAAGACAGTATATTCTCTGTAGTTTTCTAGATGGTTCTGATATAAAAAAGGACAGTTCAGAACAGGATTCTGAAAGTATAATAGAAATTCAAAGTTGAAATTCCCTGAAGAAATAGGTCCAAGGATCTGAAGATGATTATTTTGAGATCAAGTACAGGTTACCTAGCATTGATTTCATTTCTGATTTCCTTGCGGCATATTCTGCAGTCAGCTGGTTTTTAAAATCAGATGTGCAAAATGTGTGTGCATGCATAGTTACGATTGCATGTGCAAATTAGATATTTAGGGGTGCAGACAGCAAGCTGTGAAATGGCAATTTTTGTATTAATATATGCAAATTTGGTACTCATAGTTGTGCATGTGAAATCGTGTGTTAAGATTTTAAAGTAATCTCAAAATGTGTTAGAAATGGATAGTGTGGCTTCTTCAACCCTTAGTGAGAGTATTTCATTTTATGTTCCTTTTTCCAGTGTTGTTCCCAGAAAAGCAAGAGCGGTGTATCCCTGTGAGGCAGAACATAGCTCTGAATTATCTTTTCGTGTAGGAGCAATTTTTGAAGATGGTAAGTACTGTATGCATAAGCATCAAGCAGTGAAAACAAACTGAAAATCCTCCTGAAATGTCCTTGAACAAAAATATTAGCCTAACAATTGTTCTGCCAAGATGGCTGACTGTAGACAACAAGCAACCTACAGGATTTCTGGCTTCTTGATATAAATGATATTTGGCATGTATTAGAGGATTGCAGAGTGATAGTTCAGGTGAGGAGACAGTTTTGGTTGGTAGCATTTTTCAAGAGGTTTTAACTGCAATACAAAAAAAGCTATTTGGCAGCATAAAGAAGCAACTTGGCCCATGAAAACCAACCTTTTTACCTTTTTATACACCCACTCTCAATAAACATTGATAGTCATGTGGAATTTACAAAGTACTTTCCAAAAAATATACTTGAGGATTGAAAGCATGCATGCAAGGTTTCAACTTAAAGGGAAGAAGCATTTGGTCTTTTTGGAAGTTGGGGGAACCAGGCAATAGCGCATACATGTATATGAGAGGGTTATTCTTGGGGTCTGTTGAGTGTGTGTGTGTGTGTGTGTGTGTGTGTGTGTGTGTGTGTGCCTACTCAAATCCACACAAATATAGACGTCCCCCAAAGGACCTTTTTGATGGCATACTTGCCAGATATTCTGTGTTGTTCATGACCCCGCATTTAAATTCATCCTGGCTTCTACTCTACTGCCTTTGCCCCAGAAACTCCCAGCTGACAACAGCTCTGCTTGTAGTTTTAGCCTTCTGCTACCAAGGGCCCTGAAGATCCTGGATGGGTTTCAGTATATTGGCTACCTCCTAAAAACACTAGAGCCAGGAGTTCCCTTTTCTCCTTTTCCCTACCATCATCAATGTCAGCTGCATAGAGAAGGTGAGGGTAGTTGGGAGATGAAGCTCCTGTTGTGAAATGGAAAATTTTAAGAGAAGCCTTTTTTTGGCAATTATTGCTTTGTGAATGCAGTGTGTTGCTATCCCAGGCAAGCATCAAGCAAGTACCTGAAAACTGCTACTGTTATGAGGCCTTGATGTAAAAAAAAAAAAAAAAAAAATTAAAAAAGACATTCCATTTAAAAAAAAGTGTAAACTTGAATGCACTATGATGCTCACCTGAGCTTGATGCGGTCTGAAGGGCCCCAAAATTTTTCGCATTTTATTGCTTGAAAATCTTGCAAGAGAGCACTCTGACTCCTGAAGAACCCAGGAGCTAGCTCTTCCTTCTACTATGACCCCTCCTCAGTCCTAATTTTCTCTCAGCTGTTCAATTGGCCAAGAGGTCAGAAAGTTGATATACCCTATCGAAGGAGAGGGTGGGATTGAAGTCTGCCCAGCCACGTTTGGCTGGCATGCACTGTGCAGTCACCCAGACGCCAAGGGAGAAAATCTGTTTGTATGTCCAGTGAAGTAGAGCGAATTCCAAGTTCCCAGCTGAAATCCAGCAGGAAAAGGAGAAAAGTTCACAGGCCAGAGCAGCTGAAAAAATCAACCCACAAGCATTTATTTAAAAAAAAAAAAAGTAACTAAATATGGCCTATAAATCCCACAATGCACCCTACCAGCTTTGTTACTTTGGACCAAATTTGTGTGGGAAAATTTCTCAAGCTAAAAATCTTTTCATCCTGTCCACCCCCAGCCTTGCCAGAAACATTCCTGTTTTTAAACAAGGTGAAACAAGTGATGACCTTTAGCAATGTGTGTGTGTTTTTTTTTCCATGCACAAACCCCACCCCAAAAACAAAACAAAAAACCCAAGCCAGATTCCCCTTGACAAGTCAACTCCTGATTTCAGTTGTGTGTGTTACAGCGGACAAGAGGGGCCAGGGCCCTGTGCCCCATCATCCCATCCATCAGCAGTTCCCACATGAAGAGAATGTATTTGTCGGATGTGTGTCCTTTCAGAGAGCTGCCTTGGAAACAGATCACGTCTGAATCAAGTTAGGTGGGAAACCTTTTAAAGAGAAATTAGCTAAAATGATTTTTCTCTTCAAAGTCTCAACCACAAGTTATTTTAATTTAGCTTTAAAAAAAAATCAAGACTAGCAAGGATTTGTAGGTATAGGGGTACATATAGGGAAAATGGCTTCTGAAATCAGAATTCGAACACAGTATGCAAAGGAGTGGGTTTCACTCTCAAAGGGAGAAGCAGATGAAGAGAGCTGGTGCTTCTGCCTTGCTACAGGTCGTTTCTTATCTAAAGCAAAGGGAGAGTCCCACAAGTCAGCCGCTAGCTGCTATGCTCCATGGTAGCCCAACAGAACATTGTCTTTCAGCTGGTGGCTTTTGCTGAAATGTAGCAGGTGCTAGCCATGAGGCATATTGCTATATTTCCTATGGCATCATCAAGGTTTATCCAGAATCCAGTTTCCTCTGTATTGCTCCCCCGCTCAGCCCTCCTACTTTATGCAAGCAAGATAGTTTTGAGGTAAAATCCCGATCACTTTGGGCCAAATGCTCTTCATAGATTTCATAGACATTAGGGGCTGGAAGGGATCTCGTGAGATCATCGGGTCCAGCCCCACCGCCATAGATGGGAAGTCAGCTGGGATCAAGTGACTGCAGTAAGAAATAAATCCACCTGGTTTTTGAAGGAGCCCAGAGTAGGTGCTTGCACCACCTCTAGGGGGAGTTTGTTCCAGACCCTGGACACATGCACTGGAAAGAATTTTTTTCTTATGTCTAGTCTAAATCGGCCGTCTTGGAGTTAATGGCTGTTAGACCTTGTTATCCCTTGGGGAGTTCTGGTGAACAGCTGTTCTCCCAGGTCCTGATGTACCCCTCTTATATAATTGTAGGCTGCCACCAAGTCCCCCCTGAGCCTTCTCTTCTCCAAACTGAAGAGTCCCAAGTCCTTCAGCCTGTCCTCGTACAGCCTTTCCTCCAGGCCTTGGATCATACGAGAAGCTCTCAATCTTCTCCACATCCTTCCTGAAGTGGGGGCCCAATACTGGACACAGTCCTCCAGCTGTGGCCTCACCAGGGCTGAGTAAAGTGGGAGGATGGCTTCCCTGTTTTTTCTTGAGATGCATTGGTGGATGCATGCCAGAGTTTGGTTAGCTTTACCAGCCACAACGTCACATTGGTGGCTCATATTCATCTTGTGGTCTATCAAGACCCCCAGGTTCCCTTTGGTCATGGTGCTAGTGAGCGTAGCACTGCTGAGCCTGTAAGTATGCTGGGGGTTCTTCCTACCAAGGTGCAGCACCTTGCACTTTTCTGCATTGAAGGCCATCAGGTTTTGGTCGGCCCACCTTGATAGTGTGTCCAAGTCATCTTGTATTCCCAGTCTGTCCTGCGGTGTGACCGCCCTCCCCCATAATTTTGGTATCATCCATGAACTTGGCCAGTTCACCTCTGACTCCCGAATCCAGATCATTGATGAAAATGTTAAAGAGTACCGGCCCGAGTACTGAGCCCTGAGGGACTCCACTGGTCACCCTGTGCCATGTTGATTTGCTCCCTTCAACTAGTATTCTTTGGGTCCAACCCCATAGCCAGTTGCCTAGCCATCAGACCATATGATGATCAAGGCCACACTTCCCCAGCTTAACCATGAGGACATCATGGGGAACCAGGTCACAGGCCTTCTTCAAGTCCAGATATATGACGTCCACGTCATCTCCCTTGTCCAGGGCACATGTTACCTGGTCATAGAAGGAGATGAGGTTAGTCAGGCAAGACCTGCTAGTCACAAAGCCATGTCGGTTGGCATTCAGAAGCCAGCCTTCTGTTAGTCTGGTGTTGATGGATCCCTTGACAATTTTCTGCAGGATTTTTCCAGGGACAGATGTCAGACTGATTGGTCTATAGTTCTCCGGGTCATCCCTCCTCCCTTTCTTGTAGATAGGGACCGCGTTAGCTCTTTTCCAGTCATCTGGGACCTCACCCAAGCACCACGATTTTTCAAATATCTCTCTAAGGGGGATGCAGTGATGTCTGTCAGCTCCTTCAAGACTCTCAGGTGCATTCTGTCTGGGCCCATGGACTTGTGAATGTCCAGTTCCTCAAGGTGTTCCCTCACCTGATCCACATAAATTTTGAGCCTGTCACCTGCTCCCAAATTGGTTTGTGCCATTCCTGGCAGTGTGACCCACCTGGGAGGGTGAAAAACTGATGCAAAAAAGTCATTTAGGAGATTGGCCCTTTCTTGGGCATCTGATGTTGGTTGCCCCATTGGATCTCTCGGGCCCAGTGCTATCTTCGTTCTTTTTCCTACTCCCCACGTATCTGAAGAAGGACTTTTTGTTGTCCTTGATCCCCATAGCTAGCCTAAGTTCGGTTTGTGCCTTGGCTTTTCTCGACTGCTCTCTGCAGGTGTGGGTGAGTGCAGAGTAATCCTCTTTGATAATGTTTCCTGTTTTCCAGCTGGTGTAGGCTACTCTTTTGAGCTTAATGAGGTCCAACAGTTCCTTGTTCAGCCATGGGGGCTTCCTTGCCCATTGACTGCATTTCTTGCGAGTTGGTATGGCTTTGTCCTGTGCTTCAAGGATTATGTTTTTAAGAGATGACCAGTTCTCATGTACTCCCTTTTCTGGGGGGGGCATGGCCTCTGATTGCCTGACTGATCAATTCTATCAGTTTGCAGAAGTCAGTCTTCCCAAAGTTAAGGACTTCTGTTTTACTGAGGGGTTTGCCTGCTCTTCAGTGAACTAAGAAGGTGACCAGTTCATGGTCGCTGTCACCAAGCTTCCCCTTGATCCACAGATCGCTCACCAGGTCCTCCCCTTTGGCTAGGACCAGATCAAGCAATGCCTCTCCCCTAGTTGGCCTATAGACCTCCTGGCTTAGGTAGAGGTCATCAATGCACGTGAGAAAGCTACATGAGCTGTCAGATTTGGGCGTGTACTCATCCCAAGAGATGTCAAGGAAGTAGAAGTCCCCCATGATGATCATGCATCAGGAGCGCACGGCTTCGACCAGTTCCCTATTGAATTCCCGATCTAGGTCTTCCTCTTGGGGGGGGTCTATAGTAGACTCCTACAAGTAAGTCACCCGCCCAAAGCTCTTGGCTGCATGGGCAATGCTCTTAGCTGTCAGACTGTTTGTTTTTCAAATAAAGTTGGGTCCTCTAGAAATTCATATTTTCAAGGTTGGCCGAAATTAAGTCATTTTCAGGAGGTACGAGGAATTCACTAGGCCTTAAACTTTCCAAAACAAACTCACTGCAGTCCAGGAATCTATATGTAAGAAGCTTCAGTAAAAGTGTCTGTTTGGAGGAAGTGAGGGGAGTGAGCACGAATAAAATTAAGTTTTTATAGTTGAAAGCTAATTATAGCCTCACTTATGGAGTCCCTGTGGGGTTTTATATGTTTGTTTTTATATCATCTTGCTCTTCTGGGTGTTGTACAACCATAAAGTTGGCATAGTCAATGGTCTTACAGTATAAATGATAAGACAGGCAGGCAGGCAATGGGCAAGGAGAAGGGAACAGTATATAAGAAATATAGTCAAGGTGGTAACCAAACATGGTAATCAGGATAACACAGTGGTGCATAATTGTTCATAGTTAGACATAGCACAAATAGGCTTTATCAGAATGGAAAGGTGTTTAGGGGTTTCATATACATTAAATATTTAAAGCCATTTCCTTATTCTCAGCAATCTTGTGAAATTCCTTCACAGAGGTATCTCTCTCTCTTTCCTCCCCATCATGCCATCTAACCCCAGTGCATTTATACTGAAACCAGACTCCAGTGAATCAATTCAGGTTCTTTACTTACTCAATTTAAATCCCCACATGCCCTAATAATCCCCCAAATGAAGAATTAAAGTAATAATACATCAATTCTGCTGCTCTACCAATAACCTTAACTATCAAAGTGACAATGCATCAATCAAGTTGACATACAGCTAGTATCAACCATTAAAGTAACTGATAAATTAATGTCTGATAAGAGCACTGCTTCCATTAGGGAGGGTTTTATCCATCTCTCTTATTTCTCTTGTACCTCTGTCACCTCTCCTTGCTGTTTTCTGGCTTCTTGCCTATTTCCTTCTCCCATTTTCCCTCCTCTCTCCTCTGTGTTTTCCTTCCCTTCCTTCTGCTTTTGTCTTTGGCCTCTAGTGACGATTACAGTAGTTCTCTCCCACCAGTTAGTCATGGACAAAATCCTTCTGCTCATCCTGGCTTTAAATGATGGCTTATATCACAATACACCACTGCATCAATTGTGGAAGTTAAGTGTTTGGTACAAAAATAGGTGTAATCTGTTACTCCATGCCTCAGTTTTCCCTTTTAGTGTTTGAGAATAATAGCTGATATCTACCTCAAATTGTTTTTCTAATTCAAGTTTGTAAGAAGGATTGATGTCATTTGCTGGACATCTGAACACAATACTTACAAGTGAATCATACAACCAGAAGAACAACACTGCTGGTGTTGTCATTAAGTCTTAATTTACTGTAGGGTGTCCCCACCTCTTTTGATCCTGGCAGATTGTATTACTGACAGCACATAACTGGCAACATAGAATTGGCTAGCGGCAGAGCTGGAGGACTTTGCAGCTAGATAAGGAAACAGCTGGGAAGAATTTGGGCAGTTTTTAGATAAGTACATGAGCAGGATATTTCTGCAGAGACCATCATTCCCAGTGTCCCGGGAAAGAAGAATCAAACCAGCGTCCATTGAAATCTTGCCTTCTTGGAGACAACAATGTATTAAGTGTTGTTCCAAAAGCATAGAACAACACTTCTTTGTTCTTTGTTGTTCTCCATGTGTAAATACAACATGGAGTTGTATTTACACAACTCCATGTATGCCAGTTTAGCATTACTAGACATTTTGTGCAAGTGCTTTCAGTTCAAATGCTGGCAGTTCCTAACTCATTTGGCTAGATGTCTTTTGGCAAACTTGAATCAAGATTTTGAGAGGAAAGGAGAAGGAAACTAGCAAAATGGTTTAGTTCTCACACATTTCACAGGAAAAGTATAGTTTCTATGAGT